TCTTAAAGTCCTGCAAGTTGAGAGATGGGGCCTCCATGAATCAGATTTGTTGTTCCAGTAAGATTGAGATCTGGGGAATTCACAGGCCAAGGTAACACCTTGAACTCTCTATGTTCCTCAAACCATTCGTGAACAAGGTTTGCAGTGTCACAGGGTGCATTATCCTGCTAAAAGAGGCCACTGCCATCAGGGAACACCATTGCCATGAAGGGGTGTACATGGTCTGTACATTGCCATGAAGGGGTGTACATGTCAAAGTAACATCCACATGAATTCCAGAACCCAAGGTTTCTAGCAGAACATTGCCCAGAGCATAACACTACCAGCCTACCTTCTTCCCATAGTACATCCTACTGCCATTTCTTCACCAGATAAATGATGCATGTACACCTGGCCATCCACCTGATCTAAAAGAAAATGTGATTCATGAGACCAGGGAACCTTCTTCCATTGCTTCATGATGCAAATTTTCATCAGCACTGAAGGTACTTTCAGCAGTGGAGAGGGGTCATCATGGGCACTCTGACTGGTCTGTGGCTACACATCCCCACAAGCAGCAAGCTGCAATGCACTTTGTGTTCTGACACCTTTCTATCATGACCAGCATTATGTTTTTCAACAATTTTAGCTACAGTAGTGTTGAGATCAATGTTTAGACAAAGACCACAATGCAGAGGAGTGCTGAAGGCAAATAAATGAAGTTCGCAAGTACAGTAGTATCAAACGGAGAGTAGTCAGTGAAGTCAAAGGTCAGGAAGGGCAGCACAGGTTGGGAAGTGATAGTTCAGGCCAAAGGTACAAAGGTCAAAAGCAGGTTATGGCAGGTTAGTCACTGAAGATCTTGACACAATCTGGAGCACAGTACAACTGAGCGAGGAGTCAAGAGTTAGTAGAGTTTAAATAGGGAGAGGGGGTGATCCGCTTACTGTAGCTCCTCCTTGGTCTCCACCTTCTGTCCCTTTAAGAGGCTTTGTTGGGGTGCGCACGCACCATATTATTTTCCCAAAGCTCCGCCCTCTGTGTTGCCGCGTTCGGGAAGCAGCAGTGCTTGAAGATGCTCTGACCCAGCCATCTAGTCATCAGTATTTGGCCCTTGTAAAAGTCATTCAGGTCTTTTCACTTGACCATTTTTCCTGTTTCCAACACATGACATTTAAGTGACTGTTCACTTGCTGGCAATGGTGCCATTGTAACAATGTAATCAATGTTATTCACGTCACCTGTCAGTGGTTTCTATTTTGTGGCTGATCAATGTATGTCTAAATATATGTATGTGCATAATGCTGCTTGTGATGTATAGTGTTTGAGTCTGTGAATTTAAAGTGAGTGTATGCAGCTGTGTAAATGCATGCAGACATTAGAGTTAGAGTGGGGGTAATATCAGAGTTGGATTATACAGGATGTGTAAGGTTAAGAGGATTACATTTTCATAGGGTTTATAGCTGTGGTATTATTATTATTATTATTATTATTATTATTATTATGATATTTATAGAGCGCCGTCAAATTCCGCAGCGCTTTACAATGGGTGGACGAACAGACATGTAGTTGTAACCAGACAAGTTGGACACACAGGAACAGAGGGGTTGAGGGCCCTGCTCAATGAGCTTACTTGCTAGAGGGAGAGGGGTAAAATGACACAAAAAATGGTATAAAAGATGATTAGGCCTGTGGTGTTTGAACGGTTATTTCCTTAATTAATCACCTATGATTGATAGCAGAACTGCATGAATTGTTATAGATTATGCACCATTCAGTGCTATCCCTGCTCTTCCTGCAAGGTATTTAGTGGTGAAAGGCTGTTAGTGGGCCGATGGGAAGTGATCTCTTCCACTTCCTGTTCAGTCTCACGAAGACACTGGAGGAGATGGGCCAACACTGAGTTTTACACCTTCTATAAATTATATAGTTTGAAATAATGATTTAAATAAAGGGGTGATTTTGCTGATCAGTTTTGTTGGACAATGTGTTTAAATCTCTCTAATGTGAGAAATAGCACCCCTCTCCCACCAGACGGTAATCTGTGGTTCATTGCAAGTCAGTGGGGAGGAATAGAACCTGGAATGTCACCCTGCTCTCACTCCTCTGTTTATTCGCCAAAATATACAATGTGCTTCCAAATCTCAATATTTGTGCTACTCTATGGAAAAAGCCCCCTGTCTTTCACACAGCAAAATATCATCTTAACCCCTCACTGAATCCACAACCCTCATTGCCAGTGCGCCACAAAATATCACAATACGATGCATGAGCTTGTGGTCTCATTCTGTACAGAGATATGACCAGCTTGAGAACCTGCTGTTTGCAGAGACCTCAGGGCTGCTGCAGCGCTGGATGGTGGCCGGCAACTGAGGGAGCAATTTGGGCACATTAGTGGAGGTATGGCTGCAGGTGGGCCCCCCCCCCGCGGCATACCCACCCCTGGAGCACCCCATGCGGTTTCCCCTGCTGCCTCCCATGCGGTCCCTGCCCCTGGGGGATGCACTAGCACTGGCAGGCGTTCCCCCCACCTGCCAGGCTCTCCCCAGATAATACTCCTCGGGCCCGGTTGAGGACTGGGAGCCCGGGCCCGAGGCACCAACAGGACCGCATGTCTGGGGCTCCAGAGACGCGGTCTGCTACTAGAGGCCGGGCTTCGCTGCCTTCCGAGGCCTCCCCCTGCCGTGTGGCCTGCGGCCCGGAGGCCTCGTGCACGGCCTGCACGGTGGGCTTCCATGCCCCAGCTGGCCCCCTGCATCTCGCCACAGCCGCCAGCGGTGCACCGCGGCATCGTTCCCGGGCCCCCCGCCACCCGGTTGGTGGTGCTCACCATCGGTGGTGAGTGGAGCTGCGCGGGGTACCCCGTTACTGCCATCTGGGGGGCGGGGGAGGTCCCCCTGTGGGTCGGCAACCTCCTCTGCCAGTGAGGAAGGCTCCCGGTATGCTGGGTCCATTGCTCCCTCCCCCTTTCCCCTGTCTCCCACTGTGGGGTCTCCTGGGGGGCTCAGCTTGTCTCTGGCTGGGCCCCCTGTGTCTCTATCTCCCTCTGTGTCCTCCCCTCCCCCCTTTCCCTCTCTGCTATTCCCCCCCTTTCTTCTTCTTTGGGTTATGGGTTAACATAATTATCACAAGCAGGAAAAATACAGTTTTTATATATGTACTTTAACTTTAAAAATATACATTCAATCTTCATAAAATTACATATTATTAATCAGCACATTTCAAATATAAACATACCCCTCAATCATTTGAATTCGTTCAGCCGTTCGGGAGATAGATATAAGTCAAGTTTGACCGACCGCAAGCACATTTTCATGTACAAAACAGTTCCAGAGAATCAGGCTGTGCGGTCGGTCTATTTCCCATGTTAAAGTCAGTTCAAACAGACGAACGACAACCATTCGAATTATCGAACTGTCGAATGAACTGTCGAATGGCGTTCGAACTGTCGAATGCATTGAAGTCTGGAGAAGGTAAAACTTCAGCTGAATTAAAGATGGCCGCCGCCACCACGTGTTCGTTTGTCGAATGGTGGCCACTTCGACTACTTCGGCTGCATCCGAAGTGCCAATTTAAAGCTGCAGAACTGCTCCAATACAATTTAAAGGGGCAGCAAGTCTTTTAAAATCCAATCTGCTAAAATAGTCTTTAACAGGCAATATCTTCCAAGGGCCATAGTCTTAAAGGGGCATTGTTCCCAAAAGTCACAGTATGTCCCCGGATGGTTCTTAAAGGGCCAGCAGCAGCATAATAAAATACAATATGCCCAAATACTGTATTAAAAGGGCCAAATCTCCCAGGGGCCATAGTCAGCAGGCAGGAGGCGGGCAAACAGGCTTCTCCAATGCCCATTGGCGAGGTTGGTTTCACCACAGGTGTCTTTCAGGGACTTGAGGTGGCCTGTCTCGGGCTGTCTCCTTCTTACGCTGTGTGATGCGTTGCCCGGGTTTGCCATTCAGAATTCGAGACTCGGCTCTTTCGCTTGGCTTTCTCCCTGACGTTCTTTGGAGCCATGCGGATAGGGGAGCTGGTGTGCCCCAGTCGGCGGCAGGTAAGAGGGTTGCTATTCAGGGATGTTTCTTGCTCTGCGGTTCAGATCGCTTTCAAGATTCGCCGCTCGAAAACGGATGTCTTGGGGAGAGGTAAATGGGTTCGATTGAGGGCGGTGCCGGGCTCTGGCATTTGTCCTGTTTTGTCCTTCAGGGAGTATTGTACCTTGCGCCCCTCTCCTGCGTTGCCCCTACTGGTGCATGAGGATGGCAGTTTTCTTTCCCATTTCCAGTTTTTCAGGGTGTTTCGTTTGGGTTTTGAATCTCTGGGTTTGGAAAGCAAGGAGTTCGGGGGGCATTATTTTCGTATTGGGGTGGCCACTGAGGCCTTGAGGCTTGGCATGCCAGCGCAGGTGGTGCAGAGGATTGGGAGGTGGGATTTGAGACGCTATGTTTCTTATATTCGTCCGGCTGGTCTATTGACATAATTTCTTTCCGCAGATTCGGCCCCCCCAGGATCTGGATCATCGGTTTCACGCCTTCCGACGCTGAGGTCAGATGGCTTGGTTCGAGAGGTATGAGGTGGGTTTGGCAACTCCCAGAGTTGGTGCAGCTGTTCCGTCTTCTGGGGATACCGAGTGTCCTGGTGATCCATCTTGGGGGGAATAACCTGGGTTCCGTTCCCATTTGGGACTTGATTTTGGCTGTCAAGCGGGACTTAGCCCGCATTTTAGTTTTGTTCCCCAATGTGCGGTTGGTATGGTCTAAGGTCATTGCACGTAACTACTGGCGGGGTGCCCGGAGCCAGAGTGCTATGGAGCGGTGTAGCGCCCCAACTTAGGAGACTGGCATCGGATTCCAGAATGAAGTCTGGTTGTGATCCGTAAATGCCTTTGCCATTCCAGGCTTCCATGTTGTGAAGCCACCAGTGAAGTTCTATACGGACTTCATCTGTTAGAGAAATCAATTGGTCGTAGGAAGTAGACCGGTTTAGATAATATGTCTTGAGCCGTTGCATGGCTCTATAATGTAGGGGACAGTAGGCCTATGGTATGAGCCAGATCGCGTAGGCGAATCTGGTGGGCCGATAGCAATTAGCGAATGTCTTTCTTTATAGTCTTGACCTTTGTAGAAGGTAGTTGTAAAATCGCCTGTACGGAGTCTATTAGAAATCCGAGAAACTGAACCCTCTGAGAAGGTTCCAGGTCCGATTTCTGAATGTTGATTACAAAACCTAGTTTTTGTAATAAGGCCATCATCATGTCGGTGTGTTGACGTAAAAGGTCTGGATCTTGAGCCATTATCAGGATTTCGTCCAAATATATAATGGAACGAATCCCCTGGGATCAAAGTAGCGCCATCACTGGTTTCATCAGCTTTGTGAAACACCATGGTGCGGAACAAAGACCGAACGGGAGACATGTGAACTGCCAGATTTCCTCTTGTCACAGGAATTGAAGAAAAGTCTGATGGTTGCGGGCGACAGGGACTATGAGATATGCGTCCTTGAGATCGAATCTGGAGAACCAGTCTCCCACGCAAAGGAGGTCCCTGAGGAGATGGATACCCTCCATTTTGAAATGACGATATCTGACATGGTGATTCAGGTCTTTCAAATTGATTATTGGACGCAGATCTCCAGATTTTTTGTTGACCAGAAAAACGTTGCTTAGAAAAGTATGTGGGAAGGGTGATCTTTCTATTGCCCCTTTTCCCACCAGTTTGTTCAACTCTGTTTGTAATGCCAGGTTGTCTGTTGCAGACATCCGTAATGGTGTAGGTTGTGTGTCCTGGAAGGAAGTCGAAAGGAAATATATTTTTAACCCTTTGACTGTGTGTGGGATCCACAGATCCTGTGAAAGCAGTTCCCACTGTTGGAAAAAATGGGTTAGTCGACCTGCTATAGGTACATTGAAAAAAGGAAGGTTTATTACCTGGAGCAGTGCGTCCACATAAGGAGGCAGATCCACGTCCCCGGGTGGATCCTCTATTGGTGAATAACTGCCGGTGGTAGGGTCGGGGGGGTCCCGAGTTCTAGTAGTTTTCTGAGGGACGAGGCCTGTAGCCTGTGAAGGCAGCTTTGCTGTTCGCTCGGCCTCTATAACGTCCAGCACTCCCAGAAAAACGACCTGACTGGGAGGCAAGTAACCTGCGTAGGGAGGATTGGGCTTTGTTTAAGGTAGTAAATACCGCTACATGTTTGGATAGATCTCTCATGAAAGAGTCCCCAAATAATAAGCCATTGGCTTCTGGTCCCAGTTCTCAGGATCTTAAGTCTGCTAATTTAGCATCGAGTTTATATAGTGCCGCCCTGTGTCTCTCAGTGGATATAGCCACATTTGCGTTGCCCAGGAAGCATAGAGCTCTTTGGGCCCATTCTCGGACTGTGTGTGGGTCAATCTCCCCACTAGTTATAGCTTCATCAGCTAGTATGAAAATTTGGATGATGGGACCAGCGATATCCAGGAGCTTGTCCTGGGCTGTCTTAAGACCATGCTCAATACCCTTGCGAGGGTCTTTCCCTGTTTTAGTGAGGAAGGTCACAAATAGCTGGTCAAACTCTGGCGTGAGAGTCACTTTACTTGGTATAGTTGGCAAAGGGCATTCGGCACTGAGTTTAGCCCTTATTTATTTTTCAAGGGGCTTACTCAGCCACATCTTGCAAAAATTAGAGATGTGGTCAGGTGGGGCCCATTCGGCCGAATGTGGATGTCTAATGACCCTAGAGTCGAAAAAAGGAACACCCGAAGCATCCAGAAGGGCGTCTGAATCGGGTCCCTTGGGCATAGAAATATTTGTATCTGGGTCTTTTTTGGCAATGAATGCTTCCTTGACAAATTCTGATGTAGAATTCCCTAGCGCATTCGCAGAGGGCTCCTCATCAGAATAGGCTAGGTAATAATCCTCTACCCCATCGCCCGTATTAGCTGTAGAACCCTCTAAGGGGTTGAAGATAGCCTGGGCGGGGCGAGTGACAGTCAATTTTAGGGACTTAGCAGGAGCCTTGCCCTTGCCCGCAGAGACCCTATCCCCAAGGGCGTTTACATGTGATTTCTTAATCCGAGGGCTGCTGAGAATCATCTGAATCAGAAGGTAGACATATATTAGGGTTGACTTCGGTTGAAGTCTTCTCATGGAAGGCTGCTAACGCCTTGGGGATGGATTCGGCAATGGTTGAGAAATTACTTGCTCAGTGTTATCAGACATGGTCTATTAATTGTGAGCTGACAGTAGTCAAGCAAAGGAAGTATTGAGTGGGGTTCACCCAACAGTGCTTACATGGGCATCCACAGGGGGGGAAGGGGAGGCACTTGCCCTCCCCCCACCCCCTGATTTTTCAGCTTGTTCTGCTATTTTTCGTGTGAAATTGAAAATACAGTGCAATACCGGCGCTGTGTATGGAGAGAGACAGGGATAGGAAGCTGCATCTTATCCCTGCTTCTCTCTCCTAACTGAATCCGCAGGGGAGCAACACAAGCAGCCAGAGACAGCCTATGGATCAGGTAAGTGAGGCATGGAGGGAGGGGGGAGAGACAGCCTACGGATCAGGTAAGTGAGGCATGGAGTGAGGGGGGAGAGACAGCCTACGGATCAGGTAAGTGAGGCATGGGGGAGGGGGCAGAGACAGCCTACCGATCAGGTAAGTGAGGCATGGGTGGGAGGGGGCAGAGACAGTCTACCGATCAGGTAAGTGAGGCATAGGGGGAGGAGGCAGAGACAGCCTACCGATCAGGTAAGTGAGGCATGTTGGGTGAGGGGATAGAGAGACGGCCCACCGACCAGGTAAGTGAGGTGCAATGGGGAGGGGGGCAGAGACAGCCCACCCACTGTAAGGAGGCATGGGGAGGAGGCAGAGACAGCCCACAATCAGGCAAGTGAGGCATGGGGGAGGGGGCAGACAGACAGTGGGGCCACACCAATCAGGCAAGTGGAGGCATTGGGGAGGGGGGCAGAGACAGCCCACCCACCACTCAGGTAAGTGGGAGGCATGGGGAGGGGGCAGAGACAGCCCACCCATTGGCAGAGACAGCCCACCGCAAGTGGGGAGGGGGAGGGGCAGAGACAGCCCACCACCAGGTGCAAGGAGGCATTGGGGGAGGGCAGAGACAGCCCACCGACCCAAGTGAGGCATGGGGGAGGGGGGGGAGACAGGCCCCACCATCATCAGGTAAGTGAGGCATGGGGAGGGGCAGACAGCCCACCGACCAGGTAAGTGAGGCATGGGGAGGGAGCAGAGACAGCCCACCCATCAGGCAAGTGAGGCATGGGGAGGGGGCAGAGACAGCCCACCGACCAGGCGGAGGCGGGGGGAGGGGCAGAGACAGCCCACCACCCGCAAGGAGGCATGGGGAGGGGGGCAGAGACAGCCTACCGACCAGGTAAGTGAGGCATGGGGGAGGGGGGAGAGACAGCCCACCAACCGGGTGAGGCAGGGGGGGCCAGAGACAGCCTACCGACGCAAGGGAGGCATGGGGGAAGAGACAGCCTACCGATCAGGTAAGTGAGGCATGGGGGGGAGGGGGCTGAGACAGCCTACTGATCAGGTAAGTGAGGGATGGAGCAGAAAGGAGAAGAAATAAAAATGAGCAGAAAGGGGCAGCAAGGAGCTGGAAGGGGCAGCAAGGAGCAGAACAGGTAAAGTAGGAGAAGGAGCACAAAGGAATACAAATGAGCAAGAAGGGTCTGCAAGGAGCAGGAAGGGTCTGCAAGGAGCTGGAAGGTAAAGCAGCACAAAGATAAAATAGAAGGAGCAGAAAGGGTCAGCGAGGAGCTGAAAATGGCAGCAAGGAGAAGGAAGGGACAGAAGGAGCCGAATACCACTGAGCGACCTGGAAATCTGGAGCTGGAGGAAGCCTTTGGGGTTAAACCATTTGAGAGCGGTTTCACCCCTTAAAGGAAAGAGAGCACCCAGGCTTCCTGGCATCATAGCATTTTCATTGAGATGAAGTTGTTATGGTGACCAGAATGTTTCTTTAATTTGCTTAAAGAAACACTCTAGTGTCAGGAATAGAAACATGTATTGCTGACTCCATAGTTGTGAAAACGCTATTCACCCTGGCTTTATGTGATAATGACTATGCTCCTCCCCTTCATGACACTGTCAAAAAGGGACCAAGCATGGATGTCATTACAATTATGCCCCCGCCCCCCCCCGGAAAAATTCCTACGGACACCCATGAGTGCTTAGTAAATTATAAATGGGGCCCCTTCCAACTCCTTGCTGCCCCTTATTGCATATGTTTTTATTGATTATATATGGATGTGTGGATTGACATAAGTAACAGATGGTATAAGTCACATGGCTTTCTTTGTATGAGAGATCTGGAATGTAAGTTGGGGGTTTTGTCCGTATATGGCTAGAGTAGGTCTCTCTTGGCTCTCTGGCTCTCTCTCTATGTAAAGATGTAAGGATGTAACTCTCCCGTCAGGAGTCCAGCAATTACCATCTGCTGTTGAACATCCATTATCCTGTAACATCCTTTGTTGTTTTATTATGTAAGAATAAACCTGAAGAAACCGTAAGTCAGATTGCGTATTAGTACTTTCCATTAATATAGACATATATTAATGTGGAGAGCAAATTTGGCCCAAGACTATATATACAAAAGACTTGTGCATATATAGCAATCAACTGAAGACAAGAAGAAATTAAGAAGATTCAAAATTAACATTGACGATTCCAACCAGATTTTACATTGGCCAGCCAGCCAGCCAGTCTTCTGTTCAAGTTTTGTTCCCACTTCAAGGGGGGAGAGAGAAGAATCGAGTTGCAAAGCTGTTTTGGAACTGGGAAAACAAACTTGAAGAGGAAAAAAAAAGAATCTAGACTGTCACAGAAGAACTGTGGTTTGTAAGAAAAATAGTTTTCAAATCACAAAGACTGTACAAGACTATTTTCTACAACTGAGACAAAAAGCACAAGATACAACGTGAATTCTAGAAGCAAGCACGTGGCAGAGATTGGCAATCATTCAGATCCAAGTCCAGAACTGTGCAGCTGTGTGGATGAAGCAACTAAATAGACAGAAATAACTGATCTGGTGAGTAACATGGAATTCATAAATGACATTGCAGAGAAAAGTAAATTGCAGTTTGCATTTAATAGCAGCTATTCAGATGCTGTATTGTGGCAATCTTTATACACACAATGTGAAATTGCCAATAGTGAAATTGACAGGAAATTGTTTGTTAATCAGAAAAAACAAAAGATCAGAAATGTTATGAAACTAGTGTGTACTTACAATGCATTTATTTGTAAACGAAATGCAGGTCA